CCGAAAACTAAACGAATAATTAAATATGATGCTTTCGATGAAAAGCAATGAGAAATAAAAGATTTAATTCAAATTATCTTTTACTTAGTTTCGATTATTGCTTCACTTTGGGTTATTGATATGTTTTTTGGAACTAATTTCGTTGGTATTATTTCTTATCCGTTCAGAGGATGAAGAAAAAAAAGAGAATTAGTTACTGTTTCAAAAGTTGAATTTAAAGATGTAGGAGGTTTGCAAGAAGCTAAGGAAGAATTAGGAGAAATTATTTCTTATTTTCAAAATCCTCAATCTTTCTGGCAACGAGGAGCTAAAGTTCCAAAAGGCTTATTGTTAGTAGGTCCTCCTGGTAACGGCAAAACTCTCTTAGCTCGTGCCTTGGCTGGAGAGTGCCGTTTGCCTTTTCTCTTTCGTTCTGGTTCGGAATTTGAAGAAATGATGGTTGGATTAGGAGCTCGGAGAATGCGAGAACTTTTCGAACAAGCTCGTAGTTATTCGCAAGGATGCATTATTTTTATTGATGAGATTGATGCGATCGGTCGCAAAAGATACTCTACTAATTCTAGTCATGCCGAACAAACTCTTAATCAATTATTAAATGAGTTAGACGGATTTAATCCCCGAGAAAATATTATTATATTAGCAGCGACTAATTCGTTGAAAGTTTTGGATAATGCTCTGCTACGACCGGGTCGATTTGACCGTAAGATTTATATACCTTTGCCTAATTTAAAGGGACGCCGAGAAATTATCAAGCTTTGTACTCAGAAATTGCCTCTAAAACATGATATCGATCTTGAAGAAATTGCTGCCATGACGAAAGGTTTAAGTGGGGCTCAAATTTCCAATATGTTTAATGAAGCATCTATTTTAAGTATTCGTCGTGGTGAAAAAAAAATTAATTATGAAATGATTTTTGAGGCTTATGATCGAGTGTTGATGGGTCCTTCTTTAACTAGTTATGCATTAACTCCTGAAAAGAAGAAATTAGTTGCTTTTCACGAAGCTGGTCATGCAGTTGTTGGAATGAGCTTGCCAGAAACAATTGTCAAAAAAATTACTATTGTTCCTCGTTGGACATCTGGTGGATACACTTGAATTTCTTTGTATGGAAAGCAAGATGACGATAATTCGCTAAATAAAAGCCAAATGTTAGCCCATGTTATGTCTTCATTAGGAGGAAGAGCTAGCGAAGAGTTAATTTTCGGTTCAGAAAATATTACTATGGGCGCTTATAGCGATTTTAAAAGGGCGTCCGAAATAGTCCGCAGTCTAATTCTTCACCACGGTATGTCTGATTTAGGAATTATACCAACTCAGGAGTCTTTTTTTTATGGGGACGGAATATCCCCTGAATTACCTGAAACTACCAAACAAAAAATTGAAAACGAACGAGAGAAAATAATGAAAAAATGCTGAAGAAGAGTTAAATCTATTCTTAAGAAAAAAAAAAAAGTGTTAAATTTATTTGCTGAAGCACTTATTGAAAAAAACTCCTTACAAAAAGAAGATATTAACTACATTTTTATCAATCAAATTTCTCCCTATATACCTTTGCTAAATAAGAAAATCAGATGAAAAAACAAAAAAAAATAATACCAACAAATGATTCGCAAAACTGAAATACTTATAACGTTTGACAGAAGTATAATCAATTTATTCGTAATCTTTACCTAGAAAAACCAATCAAAAAACCAACTGGTAAACAATTGACTTTTAAATATTTTAGTAAATTAGCCATTGTTTTTTTCGCTGCTCTATTTACTACTCTTACTTTTTACTTTTTAATTGATCCCAATGGTCTTTATAATAGTGGACTAAATGGTCTTCTTCAAATTGGTTCTAAACTAATAATTGGTCGTTATAATATTGGTTGAAATAATTATTATTTTCTTTATTATGGATTAGGATTAATTACTAATTTGTTATTCATTTCTTTCTTAATAATATTTTTCAAAGCTAAGTTAGAAATAATAAGCACTTCTATTTTTTATGTTTTATCTCAAATTATTTGGACTCAGTTATTTAAATTTGCTAATCTTAGGGAATATGTTTTTAATCGTCTCAACCCCATTAGTTGACAAGGATTAAGTGCCAATAGTCAATTATCTTTTACTTTGCCTTATTACATAGTAATTGCCATTGTAGCAGCAATTATTCATACTTATGGATATAGTTTGATTTTTCAAGCTCAGGCTACCCCTGGCGGTTTAGAAATTTTTACTTCTCATTTTTCTTCAGTCAAGGGAAAAAGAAAAATTTCTATCGGGACTCTTATGAAAATTTTTGGAATAGTAATTATTTTTCTAGTTACTTTAATCAATTTTTTTCTAGTAGAAAATAGTTATAAAATGAAAGAGAGTCTTCTGCAAAAGGAAATTGAGGATAAAAAAAAAGAACTAGAAGAAGAGGGAATAAAAATTAGCAAAGAAACAAATATTATAATCCAAGAATGAAAAAATTCGATGAAAAAGGCTAATGATTTAGAAAAACAAGGAGATGGAAATGCAAAGGAGGTTTTTGAAATTAGAAAAAAATATCGGCATCTCACTTCTCTTTTGAAAGGAAAAATAGGCTATAATCAGTTGGAAAATTACCCTCAAGAGGTAGATTATTATTTGGAGCAAGTAGAAAAAAAAAGTGATAAAATGGAGGAGGAAAAGAAAGAAATTGAGAAAGAATTAAATAGTTTTTCGAGAGAAGAGTTAGTTAAAAAACTACAAAGAAAAAGTAATTTAGAAGCAAGAATTAAAGAAATTAGAAAGGAAAAAGAAAGGAAAATTGTACCAAAATTTTTGAGTTATATTACTAACAATGAAAGACTATGAGCCACTATGGTTTATATTTTTCTGTCCTCGTTTTTAATTAGTCAGATTTTCCCTCGTGACCAAATTATTTTACTTTGACTTTATTCTAAAAATGAGAATAATCGCAACAAAGGATTAATATTATTGAAAAATTTTTCACCAACTTATTACAAAGTTTATCAAAAAAAGGGGGATGAAGAGGAAGTAGTTTATGTGATAAATTGTCATTTGAGTAAATGGAATTACTACCTCTTAAATCCTTACTTAAAGCAAATTGGAACTCCTTACTCCAGCGAGACTATTGCGAATTAAAATGATAAAAATAACTAAATGAACTATCAATTAAAGAAAATAAGAAAATTGATTGAAAACATTAAAGAAAGTAATAATTTTCGGCAAGCCTTTCTCCATACCTCTTATTTAAATGAATTAAATTTAGAAAGAAGAACTAATTCGGAATTAAGTTTAGAAAACGAATCAAAACATTCTTACGAAACATTAGAATTTTTAGGAGACAGCATTCTCAATTTCTATACTAGTTTTTTTATTTATCACAAATTTCCTAATTATGCCGAAGGTCAGATGAGCAAACTAAAACAATTAATAGTTCAAGAAAGTACTTTGGCTCATTTAAGCAAAGAAGTTGGCTTAGGAGAGTTTCTTAAACTAGGCACTGGTGAAAGAAAAAATTACGGAGCTGAAAAAGAAAGTATTTTATCTGATATTTTTGAGTCTTTTGTAGCTGCTTTATATTTGGAAAGAGGCGGCAAAACTGTCTATCGTTTCCTTAGTTTAACTGTTTTTACTTGAATTGAAGGTAAAGAAAATATGATTTGAGACCATAAAAGTCAGTTACAAGAATATTGTCAAGCTCATAAAAATAAAATTAGTTATCAATTGAAAAAGGTAATAAAAATGAAACACCAACAGTTATTCGTTATGGAAGTAAATGATGAATTCGGCACCTTTCAAGAAAGCGGCAAAGGACGTAGCAAAAAAGAGGCCGAACAACAAGCAGCTGCTAAAGTAATTAAAAAATTAGGAATCGATAAAAATTAAAATTTAAAAAATTTACTCAACAAGCATAAAATTTTGTTATATAAAAATAGGATAAAATAGTGGTAAAATTCATCCATCAAACAAAGAGAATAACTAAACTTTTTGATAAAGTAAAAAAATTTTTAGAAAATTAACATGATAATTTTAGCTATTGAAACTAGCTGTGATGAAACTAGTGTCTCTATTTCGAAAGATAAGAGAGTTATTAGTAACGCAACCATCTCCCAAATATTAGAACAACGGCAACACGGCGGAGTAATGCCAGGTCTAGCTGCTAAACTTCATATTAAAAATATTCAAAAAGTTCTTGTTCAATCATTGTCTGAAGCTAATATTTCTCTCAAAGAAATAGATTATATTGCTTATACCGAAAAACCAGGATTAATTATTTGCCTGCAAATTGGTAAAATTGTGGCGGAAACTTTATCTTTATATTTAGAAAAGTCTTTAATTCCTATTAATCATTTAGAAGGTCATATTTATGCTAGTTTGATAAACAAAGAGAAAGAATGAGAATTTCCAGTTCTAGCATTAATTATCAGCGGCGGTCATACTCAACTATATCAAATAAATAGTCATTATGATTTTATTCTTTTGGGAGAAACTTTAGATGATGCTATTGGGGAGTGTTTAGATAAATCGGCTATTTTACTAGGATATAATTATCCTGGTGGACCAGTTATTGAAAAATTATCCTTGGGAGGAAAAAGTGTTTATAAATTACCCTTACCAAAAAACGATGATAGTCTTGATTTTAGCTTCAGTGGCTTAAAAAGCGAAATTAGTCGGATAGTAAAGAAGGAAGGAGAGAGTTTAAATATTAATGATTTGTCTTGCTCCCTTCAGCATATTTTGGCTAAAAATATTACTAAGAAATTAAAAAAAGCTTGATTAGGTAATCAAGCCAAAACTATTGTGGTTGGAGGTGGAGTAATTGCCAATAAATTTTTGAGAAACCATCTAGTAAAAAAAATAAAAAAATGAGATAAAAAAATTAAAATTTTCATTCCAGAAATAGAATATTCAACTGACAATGCCGCTATGATAGGAATAACTGCTTATTATAAAATTAAGTATGAATTAAATAAAATTATTGGAACAACAAAATTAAAATAGAAAGAAAAATATATTAATCAAGGAGTGATACTCAAGTGGTTAAGAGGGTTTCCTGCTAAGAAACTAGGTTGACCTAATAGTCAGCGCGAGAGTTCGAATCTCTCTCACTCCGCCATAAAATAAATTATATTTAATTAAACAAAATGGAACCGGTCAATAATAACCATAATTATAATCAAACTAAAGAATTTGATAATATTATTAAAAAACGTGATCGCGAAAGATTTTCCCGAGAATTAGTTGACTTAGAAAGACAAGAAGCCAACATTTGGAATAGAATACTTTTAAGTGTCATCTCATTTTTAATTGTGGAACCAATTTTAGCAGCTGTTGCTATGTGATATTTATGAGATCAATTTGCCAGTGCATTCAGACAAGGCATGTTAATTCAAAATTTCAGTTCAAGCGTTAAATTTACGGCCATTGGAATTGCGGTTGCTTTCACGTTAACTTCCCTCAACTTAATTTATCACTTATGACATCTTGCTAGTTTGAAAAAAGAAATGGTCAAGCTTAGAGCAGAACTGGTTCGCTTAGGCTAAAATAATCCTTAAATCTGCTTAATTTGCTCTAAAAATCAATCCCGAGAACGAAAATCAGAAAAAATAATTTTATAAAATTTATCAATTAGAAAACAAAGATAACTAGAATCTCTTATCGAACGTTAGCAATTTCCGAAAAATTTTCCTAAATCTTCAAAAAATCAAAACTCACTCTGTTAATATTAGACATTATGGATTATTTAACTATTTATTGTTTCTTTTCTTTTTTGTTCTGTTTCTTTGGTTAAAAGTATATTCTAAATACCTTTATTTAAAGTAAAAAAACGATTATTTTTCAGGAGTAGTGGTAAAATTATAAATATTATGACATTAGTAGAGAAAGTGCCGAAATTTCTACGATTGAAACTTGCTTTTATTTATTAGAAAAATAAAAAAATAATAATATGACTTTTTCTGCTAAATATAATTTTCATCTAGTTGAAGAAAAATCAAGAAATGATTATTGAAAAAGAATAACTGAAAAAACTTCTATTGATTTTGCTGGAACTTTGCTTTTGCCTCCTCCTAACATAACTGGAAAATTACATTTAGGACACGCCTTTGAGTCAGTTATCCAAGATTTTTTAGTTCGCTTTTCTTATCTTAATAAAAAACCAATTTTTTGAATAGCAGGAATAGATCATGCGGGAATTTCTACTCAAAGTAAAATCGAAAGTTTAAAAATTACCGAACTTGATACTGACCAAAAAAAAAGGGATTACACTTTAGGAAATTGATATCCTCAAACTCGAAAAAATTTTTATCAACAATGAGAAAAAATGGGATTATTAATCGATTCAGAAAGAGTTAGTTTTACTTTAGATCCTGTCATTCAAAAACAAGTCAGAGAATCTTTTATTAAGCTTTATCAAGATGGGCTTATTTATCGAGGGCCAAAAATAGTAAATTGAGATACTAAATTAAAAAGTGTTATTTCAGATATCGAAGTAGAACATAAACAAAATCAAAGCAAATTATATTATTTAAAGTATCCTTTGCGAAATGGTAATGACTATTTATTAGTAGCAACTAGTCGCCCTGAGACCATTTTTGCTGATGTCGCCTTATTAGTTAATCCTAATGATAAGCGTTATAAAAATTACCTTGGTCAAGAAATAAAACATCCTTTAATAAGTAAAATTATTCCAATTTTAGAAGATGAAGCTGTTAAAATTGATTTTGGTAGTGGAGTTTTGAAATGCACACCTGGTCATGATTTCGAAGATTATGAATTAGGGAAAAAACATAACCTTTCTATAATTAGTTGCTGTGATGAAAAAGGAATATTGAATGAATTGGCAGGAGAGTGGCGAGGAAGAAAAATTGGTGATATTAGACAAGAATTCGTTGAGCAATTAGTAGAAAAAGGAATTTGTGTAAAAATCGAAGATTACGAAACTAATTTAGCTTATTCTTCTAAATCAGGAACAATAATTGAGCCAATTCTTTCTCGGCAGTGATTTCTTGACTTACCTACTTTAATCAAAAAAGCAAAAGAAAAACAACCTAATTTTCTCAACAAGATAAAGTTTACCACTGATCAGTTCCAAAAAAAATTGGAAAATTGGTGTGATAAAACTCACGAATGGTGCATCTCTCGACAATTGTGATGAGGACATCGTATTCCGGCTTGGTATCACAAAAAAACTGGGGAAGTTTTTGTTGGCGAAGAGTTAAATAAGTGTTTATTATCTTGTCAAAATGGAAAAAAAGAGCCTTTTGATGTCACTTCTTACACTCATGAAGAAAACTGTCTCTCATTTGAATGAGAGTCTGAAACTGATGTTTTGGATACTTGATTTTCTAGTGGGCTATGACCACTTGTTGTCTTTGCCAAAGAAAATGAAAAATTTCCCTCAATTAGAACTAATCTTTACCCAATAACTAGTTTAGTTACTGGTTATGATATTCTTTTTTTTTGAGTGTTAAAAATGATTCTGTTAGGAATTTACTTTACTGATCAAGTTCCTTTTAAAGAAGTATTAGTTCATGGACTAATTAGGGATAAAAATGGTAAAAAAATGTCAAAATCATTGGGTAATGGAGTAGAACCTGATGAACTTATTAAAAAATATGGCGCGGATAGTTTAAGAATTTTTTTACTAGAAAATAATAATTGGGGTTCTGATTTAGTTTATAATGAAGATAAATTAATTGGAGGTTGAAGATTTTGTCAAAAACTTTGAAGTATTAATAATTTAATAAACAGTAAAATATCCACTAATGAATTAAAAAAAATTAATTCTGATGAATTAGATCTTTGATAAAAATATTATGATTGTCAAAAAAAAACACAGTTTTTAATCATCAATATAGCAAAATACAATAAATATGAAAAAATCTAAAATTAATAATAAGAAATTGAATATAAATCAAGAAATAAGGAAATTGTTTTGTGTGTAGTAATAAAATTATAATATAAAAATGGTTAAGATACGTTTAAGTCTCAAAGGTCGAAAAGGACAACGTTCCTTTTGAATAATTGCTATTGATGAAAGGAAACCTCGTGATAGTGGCAACTATCTAGAATATTTAGGTTTTTATAATCCTCAAAGTAAAGAAATAAAATTAGAAAAAGAAAAGATTAACAAATGATTAGCGTGCGGGGCTCAACCAACCGACACTGTACAAAGTTTGCTTAAAAAATACTTCTAAAATTTTAATAGACTTCCTTAAAAAGAAATAAAATAAATATACCTAGGGCATGAAAACAGGACTATGGCGCAGTTGGTTAGCGCACACCGCCGATAACGGTGAGGTCGGTGGTTCGAATCCACCTAGTCCTACCAAGTAAAATATAATTATGAATTGAGAATTAATTATTAAAATAAGTGCCGAGATTTTAGCAATGTTCATTTTGCTCTATCTATTTTTAAAGACATTGAATGAATCTAAAACTTTCCGATTGACTATTCAATTTTTAGCTTTGTTTATAATTATTAGTTCGCTAATTGTTTATATACAAAAATATTTAGGAAATAGTTAAGATTTCACCTAAAATTAAATCATATGGAAAATAGAATTCGTCGCAGTCGCATTCAATTGGTTTGTGGTCAGGCTAAGCCAGGAGCTAGTTTGGCATTTTTAAAAAACATGGCTCTTTTTTGCCGTGAATTTAACGATAAAACTAAAGAAAGAAATGGCGAATTAGTTAACGTAGAAATAACAGTTTATCCTGACAAATCTCACAAGTATGTTATTGGAACTCGTCCAAGTAGTCATTTAATAAAAAAGACTTTAGGTGATAAAAAAGAAATTACTAACTTAGAGTTGGAGAAAATAGCACAAGAAATAATGGCAAATTTGAGTACCGACAATATAGAGAAAGCCAAGAAGATTGTGGCAGGAACAATTAGGAGTTTTAATGGAGTAAAAATAAGTGAGTAATTAAGTAACCGCATGCTACTTTTTTGCTTTTAATTTGTTTCCAAAAATACATAGTTTTAATTGTTGATGATTTGTGATTTTATATAGACAAAAATCAATTATGAAATATCTATGTATTGATCCTTCGGGAACAGGAACTACTGGAATGTTTTTTTTTAAGACTGATGAAAAAGAAGAAGGTGAATTCTCTGAATATAAAAGTGGTAATTGAGAAGAGCATTTGGAGTTTATTATTAACATTTCAAAAGAATTAAAACCTGATGTAATTATTTATGAAAACACCACTTACATTTATGGTCGTCAACATCAAGGAACAGTAGGATTATATAAATTGATTGGGGGAATTGCTTCTTTAAAACATGCTTTTAGTTTTATTCAGGAAATAAATAGTGTAGCCGTTAATCAAGTCAAATCTTTTAAAAATAAACTTTTTAAGAACGAAGAACAGATTGAAAATTTATCTTGTCAACCAGGCAGAGGTGGGGGGTGAAAATATAAGCAACAAAAGATTAGTTTGCATCAATTAGATGCCTTGATAATTTATCACTTATGGAGCGATAAAAGTTTAGAAAGTAAAAAAAGCATTGAAGATAAGATATTTGTTTTGAAAGATAAAAAAAGACTAGGTTTCAGGCAAATAGAACAATTGAAGAAACTAGAAAGTTTTCTAAAAGAATAAAATCAATCTTTTTTTAAAGATATTAAAAGTAATTTGTTGATGTCATAATATTGCTAGCAAAAATATTAAATCTAAAATATTATAATATAAAGAGTATTAGCTCAGTTGG